TTTTCCATGTGCCTTAGCACAGTTTCCAGGAGGATCTGCTCCATGACATTGCCAGGCACAGAGGTGAGACTGACTGGCCCGTAGTTGCCCGGGTCTTCCTTTTTTCCCTTTTTAAAAATGGGCATTGTCTTTCCCCTTTTCCAGTCAGTGGGAACTTCCCTGGACTGCCATGACTTCTGAAATATGGTGGATAGTGTCTTAGCCACTTCACCCGCCAGTTCTCTCAGGACCTGCAGATGCACCTCATCAGGTCCCATGGACTTGTGCGCCTTCAGGTTCCTTAGATGGACTTGAACCTGATCTTCTCCTACAGTGGATGGTTCTTCATTCTCCCAGTCCCTGCCTGGGAGACATGTTTTGTATGGATTGTCTTACAGTGCTGTAGATGTCTACAGAGTAGATATTTCTGTCTAAACTAGCTGTCTGGACTCTTCATAGCAGTAGTGGTAAACAGACATGCCCAAAGCATAATCCATTCAAGATTGCACCCAGGTAGTGCTGTTCATCTCTATCAGTTGTAGAGCAACCCTAGATAAATGTCTGAGATGCAGCTGTATAAACAAAATCAAAGACATGACCTACTGGCATCAGATTGGCCACATGCCAAGGACACAGTCCAGGAGTAACAAGTCAGTGCCTTGTGGGATTTGACCTTATCGCCCAGGGTGAATTGTTTTATTAGTATCCAACTGGGGAATTCTGTCTTACGGGAACTGAGAACAAGCATTAAAGGCTTGTCTTCATCCATATTGTCACCATTTTCTTTATCTGCCTTCCCTTAAGGTAGCACAGAGCAAATTTCTTGCAAATTAGGAAACAGAAACTTCACAGGGCAGAAAATGAAGACACAGCTGAAGACACCCTTTTATTTTTTTCCTAAGTCTAGTGTGGGCTGAATTACCATTGCAGTTATTACAGTAATGGTAAAATGTAAACAGTAAAATGATGAGGTAGCCTTATTAGAAAGAAATGAACGATCAGGGAGAAAAATACTGAAGCGTATCCAGAATTTTTCCTATTTTATCTAAAAATCATCTGCCACATTTGATGCAAAAATATATTTGAGAGCTTTCCATATTGAGCAGTGAATAGCAAAGAAAAATCATCCTGAATGATATGTTTCAATAATGATATTTAGTAGCCCAAAGCAGTATCAGCAAGAATATAGGACATTCTACCCTTTTTGAGAGCCATGAAATTCTTGCTCCAGTCAGTTCACATTCTTCTCATAAGCCTTTCTGATCTCCAGTTTTCCTCTCTGGCTACAGGATCATCTGCACCACCTTCTCACATGATCTCCCCTAATGCTCAGTAATTAGAACTGAGCCTAGATCCTGAAGTACAAGTTTCATTCCCTCATACAGGCAGCCTGAAATACATCATTGTAATTCATGCAGCTACCTGTATTGTCCTTGGAGGCAGTTTGAATTCAGTGCAAGTTTGGATTCTAACAAATCCTGTCTGCATTTGGGTGTAGTGATCTCTAGAAAGAGCATCAGATCGAATAGACTTCTTAATATGATCCAAGAGATATCCCCAGAAGAACAGACAGAGTAAATTGAGTCTACAGGTATTTATGCAGCAACTGACATGCCCCTGAGCAGTTTCCAAAGCTCAGGTCACAGAATGGCTTTGCTGCTTTCCCTCAGAGCACTCTTTCCAACAAGGAGTGTGACACTGTTGATTTGTCCCCAATTTTGGCATCTTGTGTTGTAGAGTAGAAACAGCCTGAAGAGCCAGCAAGTGCTAGGCTGCTTTTCTAAACTGTCATTTTATCACATTGTTTCTTCTTTGTCTTCCTTTTAAGGCCATGAATTAAATATGTAGAAAAGTGGAGTACAGATCTCTCTGTCAATAGCAAGAGGAAAAATCTGAACATAAAACTGAATGCAATCAGAATTGAGTGGTTTTGTGTTAAGCTATTGGTTTGTTTGAAAGCATATGCTTTCAAACTGTCCAAAGCAGTGTGCTCAACCTACAGCCACCCAGGCCAAGCATGGTCAGAAGCTATCTCCTTGTCCCTTTTGGAAAATGTAAAAGAGCTTGATTAACTGCCTCCCCCCATCCTTCTTCCACACACTGATGCCCAAAGAGCAACATGCATCTCCTCAGTCTTACACGGTTGTCCTCAGTCCTGGGCATCTGTGGTTTGCTGCTGCTTCTCAACCTGTACAATAATTCCTAATTTTTATCAGGATCACAGCTAGGATTCCACTGAGACTGAAATCAAAGAGACAGAGAGAATCTGTTTCCAAAGGTGATGTAAAAGCTGAAAGGACACAGTAGAACTGTGTGCCAAAGGGAAGTGGCTGAAGTAGCAGATGAATGTTTAGCCTGTGGCTCAGCTAGCACTGCTTCTTGTGCAGACTTCTATGTTTGTATTCCTTCTCATTTTCATGTTTCTGTAGACGGAAAAGGACATGAGAAGTGACACAGAAGAAAGCGACAAGGACGAAGAAAGAGAAAAGATCAGGGAAAAGGAGCAAAATGGGATCACATATTTCAGCAACGTCACAAGCAACAATTATATCCAGAGGAATGGGTCTGAGCCACTGAAAAACAGAACCCATCTCACCAATGGCCACGTCAAGGAAAGATAGCTACTGTTCATGCGCTTCTGATATGGTCTTTAATGAACCCAGTCCACCGTCTTTAGAAACAGTTTTGCTCATTGTGTAGATAAAATGGAGTGCAATTGCAGTATCATAGCTGAATTCCTGCTTCCCGTAAACAAAGTGTTGATAGTCAGTGATATTTGAAGGAAGTTTTTGGTCTTTCTTCAATAAAAGCTTACTATAGGTTGTAGCCTTGAAGCAGATAGAAAAGGATCAAAGTGGTTTGACTTGTATTAGACTGTACCATACTTCTTGTTAAATGTGTTAATCTTGAAACATACTTTAAAAAAAAAAAAGGTGGATAAACTCTGGCAATGTCAAGTCTTAACCACCTAATGTTGTTTGATAGGAATCTGTTTAGCCTTGTTCAACCTCTGGAGGCCCTGGCCCATTGCCACTAATGATTATGGCTAACAAGTAAGTGTGAGACTCCAAATCTTAATACGGGGACACCTCTTTTGAGAAGACAGGTGCCCCATACACACTCAGAAAATTAAAATTAAGCATAGTGGAATGACAGCTTTGGAAAGACACAGGAGAAAACATTTTCTTCTCAAAGGAAATGCTGCTGTGCACCACATGACCAGTTTTGTAATGGTATGGATCTCAGTCCCTTCTATTGTCAGCGTTATTGCCACAAAGGTGGGAACTCCAAAGCCCAGACTGGAGAGAGAGTACCCACCCAAATCATTGTTGAAAGAGCTGGAAAATCCAGACAGCTGTGTCTCAACTGTCAGGTAATCCTTTAAACCTGTCTTGGAAGGAAACACAGTCAGAAGAAAAGTGGCAAGAAACTAGATAATCTAGAAGACAACACTGATTAAGTGCTCATATTTTCACCTAGTGTGATTGGCACAGTGGGAGATGTTTACAGAGTCAGCATGTGGCAAGAAGGGAATACATTTCCCCTATCCTCAGAGGAAAAAGGACCCAGAGAAGATCTGCTGAACCTTATGGAATAATGCTTTAATGTGGCCTTCTAACTCTAGTGGGCCTTTGCCTAGATGTATCAATAATATCAAGTTTAAAGCAGTAGTCCATGAAGTCATGATGCAGTTCTGATTCAGTTTGTTTAGGTGTCCTGTATCTTATACCCTGTGTAGTCTTAGACTTTGGATTCTGTAATCCCTTAAAAGAGTTAAATTAGTATGACATTAATTTCTGTTTTACAGGTCAATTAATCTATGAAACTGAAGTATTAACAAATTCATTGTAATGAGTGCAGGGACTTTTAGACTGCCAAGGCCATGCAGACACTTCCCTATATGTGCCCAATAAGGGCCAATGCTAACTGGGGGGGGTACATGGACCAAGGAAATGCCTTTGAAGAGGTGGTGCACATGTTTAAAATTAAAAGGCAAGTGACAGCATAGAAGGACAAGATGGTTTTCAGCAATCCACTCAGTTGACCTGAGATGTGACTGGGAGCACTTTGGTCTGAGCTTGTATGTGCTTATCTTAGGTTTCAGTCAAAATACATTGCATAATTTCAGATGGGAAAAAGTGGTTCCCGCGTGGGTGATTCCATGGCAGTAACATGCTCTGGGAGGAGAGCATCTGTTCTTGCATCATCATTTAAATTTGTATTTGCTGAAGATAGTTTGTCTCTGAAACCTTGAGCTGTTTTGAAGATGGAAGTACATGTTCTGTCTACTGTCATGTTCCCTTAATCTGAATCTACGATCTTGCCACTCCTCTGCAGGTGATGTGTTCAGGTGCGGTGGTAATATATCATTTTGTACTACTGAATGTAAATGTTCTTTATAAATTACTTTTGAAAGGTTTGATTGTCTGGTCTCTTTTCTACTTCTTTAACTAGCAGGAGGTAACCTGACTAATTGCACCTTATAGGTGGAATTGTGATGAGGGAGACACATATGGGTGCCATTGCCAAGGTCGATACACATGCAGTGTGCATGAGAGGATGTTGCATACCCAGGACATGCAGCTGTACTTGGCCATGCCAGTAGAGAACTGCAGCTGCCTGATTTGTCTCCTACTAGGTAAAAGCCCTGTGTTTGGCCCTGGAACAAGGGACAATTTGGGGCACCCCTACATTAGACCTAGGGGCAGACCAGGTTACTTGGTACTGCCAGGGCAGTGGCAAGTCCGAGATTGCAGCACCAGGGAGATGCTTTGGACTTGCAAGGATAGGAGGAGAGAAATTAATGACTATGCTTTTTCATGAGGTTTTAGAAGGCTAGGAAAGATCCCTGTTGTAAAATCACAGCACCTCTCGCCCGAGGAGCAGAATGCCTCCCAGAGACTGCACAATTCACTGTGAAGCCAGTGCAGACATATGTTGATGCCTGCTGAATCTTATCCTCAGGGCTTTGCTGTCGTCCTGAAGCTTGAGATAAGCTCATTAGGAGGCGAATGTGGTTCTTGTGAAAGGATACATCAAGCATTCAGGAGAGCTGTTGGACAATTAAGAACTACTGAGTGCTGCTTTTAGCTGAGGAACTGAGCATGACAGCGATGAGTCACTGGGGCAGATCAACTGCCAAATTCGTTTTCTTGCCATCAGCTTGCTAAGGCAGCTTCTTTAAGAAGCTCTGTGTGTAATCGGCCTCCTCCCCGCGTTGCTCCACCTTCTCTCTTTACGTCTCCTCCAGTGTTGGGAAGCTTATGAGTGCTATGATAATATTTATTAATTTCATGTATCAGCTCCCTCCACACTAAGGGCATCACAGCCCCCAGCACAGAGAAGCTGTTGTAGAAAACCTGCAGGCAAGACTGTCATTTGTCTGCTGAAAAGTCCAGCAGAGCAGATGAAGCACTGGGTAGCACAGCATAATCTGAATCTATTATTTCCCCTGTATCTTTATCACCCCATGTGCACAGAAGAGGCGTGCATCACACAGTGTGTGCACCATGTAATGTTATCAAGCAGCTGTGAGAGATGAGGTGTCCAGCTCCAGGTAAGCTATGAAAAAAAGAACATTTACTGGTGCTCCCAGGCTGCTGTGTGGTGGACGAATTGAGGACTGGCAAAACGTGGTCCCCAGGCTGGCATCTGGCCATCCTAGCCCAAAATTATGGGTGACATGAATCTGCTGACTCCAGTAGATGTGGACATCTAGTGCTGGTTTGGATCTTGTTTTAAGAGCAGTTTGGCACAGTTGTTCCCTTCCCCCTGCACACACTCGCGAAACATCAGGGATGTGCATCCACCACATTTTTTCATTTAGACATGTACACCCACGGGAACGTTTACTTGGATGGCCACACTTCGAAAGACATTGCTTTTCTCATTCACACACACACACACACATACACACATGCGCGTACAACAGGCACTGCCTGCAGGTAAGGGCGTCCCTAAGAAACAGCAAGGCATTGTTCAAAAAGCTGAAGTCGTGTCTAAACAAGGCAAGTGGAAAGGACCTGTAACGTTGGCAGATAAATGTGAACATGCAATAAAGCAGGCCAAGAAATATCTTGAGAAACAACTTGAAAGGCAATACCAATCTCTGAAACATTGAAAAGACTGCAGGAGTCATAGATAATCAAAGCATATAGTAAGAACACTGAGACAAGATCAGGCTAGAGCCAAAAAATTCAATGAGCTGCCTTACATATGATTTCCCTGCTTAGAAGATCAGAGGGGGTCCAATACCTGACATCTTGCTGAGGCTACTTCCAAGAGGATCCATCTCAAGCTGATGGGTGAGAAGATGTTACACAGCAAACAGACTAACAATAATAACAAACCTTCAAACCTGGGTGGCATTCACTCAAATGTCAAGAGGAAACTCATACTAGAAGGAGTTGAACTGTGGAATGCCATTTTTTGTTTCAAATCAGCTTGTTATCAGAAAAATTTAAGAAGGTTCCAAGTGCAAATGTGAGGAGCTACAGTCACCTGTAGTCTGAAATCCAGTCTGGTCAGACTGGTAGAAAGTGTAATAAATTATGGAATTTGTGGAAATGCATATTAACATAATATTGTAGGAAAGAGTCCCTGTGGGTTGTATATGAGGAAATCATGTCTCACTCTGCTGGGTTATCCCAAAGAGTCAGTGGGCACATGCAGATGAGAGAACCTGTTACCTACTCAGCTTTGCAAAGGCATTCAGAAAGGTCCCTCACCACCTGAGAAATCCACCTGAGGTTACCGTGAGAGACAACAGGGGTTTTTTGCAGCTATGTATTGTTGCAGGTGCCCCAAAAAGGGGGAGGGAAAGGCAGATGGCAAAATTGGCTGATAATGAAAGTTACTCATGACGATGATGCAGACTGATTGCAGTCGGTTGCAGAAGGGTTTATGGTACTGAGGGACTGAGTGATAAAACACAGCTGAAACTGAATATGGAGGAGAGCAATGTGGTGCATGTGAGAGGGTCTCCTGAATTGCTGGGCTGAGTGTTAGCACTTCAGAATAGTTTTGGG